CATGGCGGCGACTAGAAGCCTCTGCCGTTCCGCTAGACCCCTATCCTCACATAGAAGAGTCCTGGGTACAAAGCCACAAGAACAATGAGTCCGATGGTCATAACGAGGCCCAAGACCAGGGCTACGATGTTCAGGCACTTGGCGGTGGACCCATGGTCCTGGGCCCCCATCACGTCTCCCACCATCTTCCGGTCCCTGGACTGGGGGAGAAGGGATGGTGAGGGGTGTGGACGGGCCCCCGGGACAGCCGGGTGCTGTGACTCAGGCCGGGCTCTGGCTGCTCCCAGCCCAGACCAGCCTCCGCCTGCCCTCAGCCAGGTCAGCGACCCCTCCCTGTTCCCTGGAGCCTGAGCAGGACAGGCCAGGGGGGCTCCCTCTCAGCCCCTCAGCCTCTCCAGGGCCTCAGGAGAGAACAGCAATGGACCAGACTTGAGGCCTGAGGGGCAGGGGTGGAGGACGGAGCCCTGTGGTTGGGACAGAAAGGAGAGCTCCAGGGGGTGGAGACAGGTGGCGCCCTTCCCAGGCCCCTCCACGCAGCCCCACGTGAACGAACGCTCGCTGGGTGAGCCGCCGCCCGACCCCCCAGCACATCTGCACTCACAAGGGCTCCCCGATCCCAAGGCCGTCTGGGCAGCACCCCTGTGGGGGCAGCACACTTTCCGGGGAACCACCCCCCCGCGCACTCACCTTCACGGAGTAGGCGAACGCCACGAAGCCCAGACAGAAATAGTTGAAGAAGACGGTGTTGAACAGGGACCAGACGATGTGGTCGGGCACCACGGTGTCAGCCTGGACGTGGACCACGGTGGACATCATGGGCCTGGGGCTCTGGGGAGCCCCCAGCACAGACACCTCGTGTTGCTCCTTGATCATCTCTGGTTTGGGGAGCAGGTGGGTCCCAGGTGAAGAAGGCAGATGCTTCCCAAGGCAGAGACCTGAGCGGAGTGTCTGCAGCTGCTGGGACGGCGCAGGCCCCGCCCTCCCTCCCTGGGGTAACTGATTTCTCAGAAGTGTCCCTTTCCGGGTGTTTTGTAAATTGGTGATTTGACTTGTTCCTAGGAGATTACGTTATGCTCGAGCCCCGGGAGGTAGGCTGTGGTCTGCGGGGGAGGGCCGCCCACCCTGGCACTCAAGTCAGGACTTGTCTTGGCCGCTCAGGGAGGCTGTGCTGGGCCCTGGGGATGTTTCCCTCCCCCACTCCCCCCCCACCCCCGGCAGGGCCCCACCTGTCATCACCCAGACCCCGCACTCCCGCCCGGGGGGAGCTCTGCGCTGATCCACTTCTTTTTTCTTGGTTGAGCCTTCCTCTGCGTTCTGCGAGCTCTCACTACCCCCGAGTCTGAAGGTGCCCATCTGATCCCTGCCCGGCATTTTCTCCAGACCCCATGGCCATGTCCCCCCTGGCCCTCGCTCTCCTGCTCATTGAGAGACGGACCCCCCCCTACCCCCCCACCCCCCCCACAGGGTGCAAGCTGAAGCCTCGTGGGGGACAAGGGTGGGCCCACGTGGAGCCTCCAGTTTTCAAAAACCAACAGCTAAGCGCTGGCCGGTGTGACTCAGTGGTTAGTGTTGGTCCATGCACTGGAGGGTTGTGGGTTTGATTCCCACTGTCAAGGGCATGTACCTGGGTCTCAGGTTCGATCCCCGGTCCTACAAGCTCCAGGGAGGCCTGGGGGGCAGGGAAGGGGATGGGGGGGCGCGGAGGCCTGCAAACTCAGAGGCCTAAAGTAACCACAAAGGTTAGTCTGAAATTAAGACTTTCTAACTAAAAGCACTTTAAGGCTAGAATCTTCCCAGACAAAAGACAGTCTTTACCTTCACCAGCGGTTCTCAGCCTGTGGGTCGCGACCCCTTTGGCGGTCGAACGACCCTTTCACAGGGGTCGCCTGAGACCATCCTGCAGATCAGATATTGACACGACGATTCATCACAGCAGCCACAGGACAGTGATGAAGGAGCAGCGACAATAATTTTCTGGCTGGGTCACCACATGAGGAGCCGTATTTAAAGGGCCAGCAGGTTGAGAACCGCTGACTTCAGGGAGCCTGTCTTTTGCATCCAGGGTGATATTCCTTCGGGGTGTCAGGGTAACTCCCCTTTTCCCAGGCCCCACGGGGCACAGCCACGCCCCAGGGCAGACCTTAAATCCGCGTTGTTACCGTGTTCCTTGTGGACGCGTGCTGCCCGTACCCACCTCTGTGCCAATGTGTCTCCCGCGGTGCTTTCTCCCGCCCCCGGACCCATCGCAGTGGGGTTCCGGAGCCCACCTACCTCTCCTCTGCGACGGCAGTTTGTAAACAGGCGCAGACCCTCCTTTCTCCAGAGCATCACCCCAGCCCTCACCCCAATCCTCACCCCAATCCTCACCCCAGTCCTCACCCCAGCCCTCACCCCAGTCCTCTCCCCAGCCCTCACCCCAAACCTCACCCCGGCCCTCACCCCAGCCCTCTCCCCAGCCCTCACTCCAGCCCTCACCCAAATCCTCACCCCAATCCTCACCCCAGTCCCGGGCATTCTGCTCCCCGCCAATTGTCAGCAGTTTGGCTCAAACAAACTCACAGTGTTACAGGGTGAGGGACTGAGCCCTGGAAGGGTTACGGAATGTGGGAGGGGGAGGGACTGCGGCCTGGAAAAGGTTACGGATTGTGTCAGGGTCAGGAACCACGGGAGAAAAATTGCTAGATTCTTAGAACAATGTGTTATGATACGCTCCAGCCAGGGGTGACTCCGTTCACCTCCCCTTTGTGCTTATGAACTTTCTGCGAACTTCTACGGTAACACGGTTTTGCTATAAAGGATCATACTGCACCCTTGGTCTCTGCCACATGCTCCGGAGCTCCCAAAGGGGGAGATAGGCGCTGTGGCCAGCTGGCCAGCTGAATAAAGGCTCTTAAATTTAAATTCTGAGTCGGTGGTCTATCTCGCTGAGCCAACCCATACGTTCTCTACAGGTTTGAATGTTTCCTACGTGGACACGGACATCGGCCGAGAGCTTCGCCCCACACAGGTCCCGCTGGGGCCACAGGTCCGCGATCCGCACCCCAGGCGTCATGTGGGCTGGGCCGGAGCACGCGGAGCAGAGATGCCAGGCGCCGGCTTCCTATCACGGCCGGAGGGCAGGGGAGGACCCACACTTAGCGATCCGTGGCCCGTCCACACCCTGAGCTGAGGGCTCTCCCGGGCAGGAAGGCTGGGAAGCAACGGGAGCAGAAGGTCCTGTCCAGGCCCATCCCTGGGGGCCACCTTCTCCAAACGAGGTCCAGGTGCCTCCGGGCCTCGAGGTGGAGGAAGTCGCATGCTGCCCTGGTTTCTGCCCTCGGGGACCGAGATCCTGCCCCCAGCACAGCACGAGCCCCTCGGGGCTGGCTTCAGCCCAGCCTGCTGCTGGTGCCGGCCCTGTGCCCACGTGTGCAGACTGGTGCTGCCGGGAGAGGGGGTAGGATAAGTGGGTGAAGGGGAACCAAAGGTACAAACTTTCAGCCGTAAAACAACTGTCATAGGGCGTCAGGCGCAGCTTGTGACTATGGTCAACGGTGCTGTGTTGCGTTTTATTATTATTATTTTAATATATCTTTATTGATTTCAGAGAGGAAGGGAGAGGGAAAGAAAAATATTAATGTTTTTATTGATTTTTAGAGAGAGGCATCAATGATGAGAGAGAATCATTGGTTGGCTGCCTCTTGCATGCCTCCTCACTGGGGATCCAGCCTGCAACCCAGGCATGTGCCCTTGACTGGAATCGAACCCGGGACCCTTCAGTCCGAAGGCTGATCCTCTACCCACTGAGCCACACCAGGCAGTGCTGCATTGCGCGTTTTAAAGTTGCTAAGACAGCAGATTTTCTTGTTAATACTCATCCCAGGATATTTGTTTTTTCTATTGATGTGAGAGACACATGGGTGGGTTGCCTCCTGCACACGCCCTCACCCGGGGCCTGGAATGGAGCCTGCAACCGAGGTACATGCCCTTGACCAGAATGGAACCCGGGACCCATCGGTCTGCAGACTGATGCTCTATCCACTGAGCCAAACCGGTTAGGGCAGGAATGGGTATTATCGATACAAAATTTCTGGACTGGAACCCGGATTCTTTGTCCACCAGAGTTGAAGAATGAATCCTTAGACAGAAAGTGGCATAGCAAAGGTGGAAATTTATTGAAGAACAAGTACAGACTCCCACGTGGGGAGAGGAAAGAGTCCCAGAGAATGGACTCCCACATGGGGAGGGGGAAAGGGTCCCACCGAGTTCCTTTTCCCTGTGGCTTATAAAGGCTGCCGGTCCCGGTGCCCTGATATCCCCTCTGATTGGTCACTATTCCCTTGGACTGGTTACTGTAGTGACTCCCCGGTATCTGTGTCTGGCAGGCTGATCCGTTAGAAATGCCAGGCAGAGTCCATTACCTCGTCACATGTCTGCATGTGTCCGATCCTGGGCTCCCTCCGACCTAACAGATACAAACTTTGAGGAAAGGCTAGAAACATTTGAATTTCATAAAGTGAAAAATATACTCCATGAGACATTAACCAAAAGTTTGCTTTTGCATTTATATTAATGCTGGGCAGTGCAGACGTTAAGGGGGAAAGAAAGCCTTAATGATGGGATATTCCACGATGGGGAGCGGGGGAGAAGAAAGAAAAAACACCAAAGCATATCCTATTCAAAATGCAAAAACACTGAAAAACCACAGTCAAAAGCCCACAGACCCAGCTCTAGAAAATGAAAGGTAAGGATCGCATCGAAGGTCGTCTCTGAGACAACAGAGCGAGAGGCGAGGAGAAACCCTGGCAGCTCCCCACCCAGCGCACGTGTCCGCGAAAGTCCAGGAGAAGGGGTTTTCTCAGACAAGACCGGGGGTTTGTCCGCAGCCTTGCCCGGTCAGAGTCTTAGAGCCCTGGCCGGTCTGGCTCAGTGGATAGAGCATCCGTCTGCGGACCGAAGGGTCCCCGGTTTGATTCCGGTCGAGGGCACATGCCTGGGGTTGTGGGCTCGATTCCCAGTAGGGGGCGTGCAGGAGGCAGCCACTCAATGATTCTCTTCATTGATGTTGCTCTCTCTCTCCCTCTCCCTTCCTCCCTGAAATCAATAAAAATGTGTATCTTCTTAAAAGAAGAAGCTATCAGACAGAGAGAAAGCTCATAGGCCAGACATGACCCCCATCAGCAAAGCAGCCATCCGAGAAGGAGTAACTGGAGGTAAAACTACTCCACTTCCTACTTTGAACTGAATGGGGAGCAGGACTAACTGCGAGGTTACAGGAAAGCAGGGGACTGCGGTTACCATGGTTACCGTGCCCCAAGGCGGAGGGCCGGGAGGGAGGGGCCGGGAGCATCTGCTGGTTCCTGCAGGACCTGCGAAGCTGGTGCTACTTGCAGGGGGGCGCGCAGTTACGAATATACACCGCGCCCCGCGGGGCTCAGCTGCTGGGCGTCACCCCATGCACAGGCGGGGGTGGGGGTGGGGGTGCTGCCCGCAGGAGGCAGAGGTCCATGTTGCACTCTCACATCAATGCCTCCCCCTCCCTCTCTCTCTCCCTCCCTCCCTCCCTCCTTTCCACTCTCTAAAAACCAATGAGGGGAAATACCCTCAGGGAAGGATTAACAAAAAGAAAAAAACAAAACAGTTGACAGTTTTTAGGGCAAAGGACTTGAGTCACTTTTCTCCAGGAAGATTGCCGGCTGGATCCCCAGCGGGGGCTGCGGGAGGCGGCCCATCGACGCCTCTCTCTCATCAATGTTTCCCTCTCTCTCCCTCTCCTTTCCTCTCTCTGAAATCAATTTTTAAAAATACTTTTTCTTTTCAAGAAAGGAAGACATACAAGTGGCCAACCAGCACCTGATAAGATAGTCACCGTTATGGTTACAAATGCAAATCAGACCACGTGAGCCACCGTCACATCCATGAGGATGGGTGTTGCCAAAATACCAGGGCAGAGCCGTGCGGTGCGGGCACAGGGGGGCCGACCCCTCCCGCAGGGCCGCCCCGGCTCCAAACAGAGCGACCACGCGACCCAGCAGCTCTAACCCCAGGCGAGTGCGGAGCCGTGAAGGCATGTCCGGCCGTTGCCCGCACTGTCGCCATGGCAGCGCTCTGGCCTCAAAGTGGCAACAGCCCAGGTGCCCGGCAATGGGGGAGAGGCCAAACAAAGGCAGCCGCACCAGGAGCCATGTCCCGACAGGTGCTCCTACTCGAGTGGCCCGCAAACGCACTTGGCAAAGAAAACGAAGACAGACTCAGGTCACACAGGATGCGACTCCTTTCACCGGCTCCACCGGCACAGGCAGTGCCATGGAGACAGGGCGGGTGGCGCCCGGAGACGGGGGA